AGGCTTCGAAGCGTGTGCCGAGTAGGGGAGGGGGCGTTTCCGCGATGCGCGTATCGAAGCTTGCGTCATTTAGGAGAGGAGCTGAAAATGATGACGTCCGAAGCCTCGCTGCCCGGCTGTACCACGTGACTGATTCAGGAAGTGGTTCGGATTTTGCCGCGAGTTTTGACAGCGATATAAACCCCTCAGGCTCCATTCAAAATGTGGGTGTTTGATGGAGAAAAAAGAAATCGCCTAAGACCTGCCACAGTGGAGAAACTGTTGTTTTTAAATAAAAACCAATGATGTGTCCCCTAAACCATAATCACTGGCCATACCTCAACGTTACAAAAGCACAATCATTGTCCATACCCCAACCCCAACCACCCTCACCTCACTGTAAATAATCATTTCCATTTTCATCATTTCCAAATAATCATTTTCCATACTGCCAGTATATATATATATACACAGTATACTGCCATCACTACAATATACATGTTTTGCATACTTCTTTATTTTGCTGACAGTTTTATTCACAGGCTTTCTGCAAAATGCCACACACTTCAAATTCATGCCAACTGATATTGTTGCATCCAGTAGATGTTCTACTAGAGCAAATGAAGCTTCAAGAAGCTTTGCGCTGGAGTGAACCAATTGGATGAAAGGCTTCATAAAGCTTCATCTGCCCATCACTAGCTTCGCTAACCAAAAACAAGGAAAAAGAAAAGCCAACATACATAACGAAATCTACAGCACCGAAACTGTCAGCGTAGAAATCAAAAGCATGTATTTTGGGTAATGCTCCAGCGATGGCGGAGTGTCTGCCAGAGGTATAAATAAGGAAGAAGTCAATCAGCGGGATGCACCCCAGCTGTGTGCACCAACAAACGAATCGCTAATTACGAATGCAACACAGCTGAGGTGTGAATCCCGCAGGTTAAGAGAACAGAGGAGAGAAAGGCGGAAGAAAGGCAGGTCGAGAGAACAGAGGAGAGAAAGGCGGAAGAGAGGCAGGTCGCGCCGAGCGGACCTGACACAGCCTTGGGACTGGGCAGAAAACTGAGGCCACATACAAGGAGGGCTTCTGAGATGAACAGGAAGCTGAGGCTGTTTAGAACAACTCCTGAACTGTACAGAAGGGTGGTCTAGTGTCCAGACAGAAAACAGGAGCTGACCACATAACCATTGGTGAAGACTGAAAACACTGTTGTCATCATGGGGCTGTAATTGCTGGGTGATGACCATGGATTGCTGAGGCTTGAGACTGATTCTGGCCTAGGGGTTGAAGCTCAGTTTCATGCAGTTTGTCATCACACTCATCAGTTTCAAGGAGTCTCTGCTTTTATGTTTCATGGACCAATGCTCTTCATGTTAACCTCCTGGGAACTATTTAAGTATTCACCCCTTTTTGGTTGGTCAGGTTGGTTTTCCCATACCTTGTACTGACTGTTTGTTGCATGTAGTTTATCTACCTAAGTTACACCATGCATTGTTTCGTTATTTTTACTCTTCACTCCTGCAGTGGGGTTACTGGGTGCTATTTTGTTTTTAGTTGTGCCCAGCAGTTTCAGTCATGAGTATTCTTTGTTACCTCCTCCAAGGGGGGTAGCTATGTTGTTGCTTGCTTACTTGCTTGCTTGTTTGTTTAACAGCATAACTCAAAAAGTAATGAACAGATTTAGATTTTTTGGGGAGAAGTAGGGCAGGGTATGGCCCACAGAACAACTGATTAGATTGTGATGCTGCTCCCTTTTATAATTTTGACACAGGAATATTTTAAAAGATTATTAAACATTGTGAGTGCTGGAAAGCCTGCTGACTGTATGTGAACCACCTTGTGACCAAAGTGCACAGCTGCACTGCTGAGCAGATTTCTAAGAGTAGACAGCGGCACATGTTGCAATCACAACACCAACACAAAGCCAGCAACTCCAAAATAATGCCAGTGCCAGTAATTGTAAATGTGTTGTACAAGGTTTGGAAAATACATTGGATCATTAAACAACAAATTTTGCTCATAAAACATATGTGCTTGTGATCCAATAAAAGAACGTAGGAATTTGTAATGAGCAAATGTTTTGAAGGGGGAATTATGAAATTAGGGTACATAACTCATATTGAAATTATTCATCCAGCTAAATAGCCCATACTAGAAAATTTAAGACGTTCCTTTTTGATAAAGCTTATAGTTAGGGCTGGATCAGGTGACCCTGAGCCTTCCCTTAGTTATGCTGCTATAGGCCTAGGCTGCTGGGGGGCCCCATGATGCTCTGAGTTTCTTTCC